TAGTGAACATTCTAGAGCCTATCTAATCTTGACGAAAAGTCACACCTAAATTTAAAGGCGCATTTCATTTTCATCCCTTGATAAATGCGCTGGACCGACACGGGGGGCAAACCAGTAACACGGTTAACGTGGGTATAGCGACCAGGTCTCATAAAAGATGGAGGGATAATGTATCGTGAACGTGACTGGAAATGGTCTCCAGATCCACGTCGCACATTTGCTCGAGAATTTCTGTAAGATCGAGGAACCTTAGGTGATTAAAAAACAGTAATTATTGGTATTTTTGGAGGTTTTATCTCACCGGTGGGAACGCATGCCAATTTAGCAAACCATTTGGTTCCAATAATTCTGCTGGTTTAGTCAAGAATAGAATAGCAGCTATGGTTGACAATCAAAAGACAGGTTTGATGCTGTTACAGCGGTTGCTCAAACTCGCTCGTGTTGGTAACCGTATTAACAGAGAATGGTGAACGGCGGGCAGTGCGAGCACGTGATAGACTGAATGATGTAAGAAAGGAGTAAACAACCTCGCTGCAACTACAGTACGTTAAAAGCCAAGAAATATATAAAAGGAAAGGACTACCTATACTAAATAATCAAAGGCACGCGGAAAATCACATCAACTGCGTAAAAATAAAAAACGGTACCTTCCCAGTGCGAGGATCAAATGCGAGAAAGGAGTTATGCCGAACACCCGAAACAAGTTCGTCGGGACGTATTCGAAAGCCAGAGGATAACAGTTCATCAGGGGAGACAGAAACGGCTTTGAGCCTAGCCTGTGACGATGGTATATTACCGTCCTTAGTGTCAATAACGAACAGGCTGCCGTCCAGGGAAGGTACGAATGTATAAGATGAGCTTTCGGTTATGAGCTAAACGAAATATCAACGCAAATAGAAGTACCTCCAAACCACTAACATTTTGCGAGACAAGTGGTTCACCCTCCACTTTCCAAACTAGCTCTCCGGCTTCTGTGTTAATACCATTAAGTTTGCCATCGATACTACGTACAATAAGAAGACTTGTAATATGTTTACGATATAGT